CTGTCAAGCTGCAGTTCTTTTACACTGGCTAGCTCAAGTGGTGCCTGCTTCGTTTCCTTGACCATTCCTGGAGGATCCCGCATATATTCCTGCTTTGAGTAAGCAGGCCAACCTACAGCCTGGGCTCCTCCGCCCAAAGCAAATGCCAAAATATCCCCCGCCCCGCTTCCCCTGAGCGCTGGATAAAGCCAGTCGGCAGCTGAGCACGCAGCAGCACACCTGCTCGCCGCCTTTGCAGGAAACAAGGCTCAGCAGCAGTGACCCCCATCCCACACCTCGACCTTTTTCCAAATAAAAATGCAGCCTGATTTCTGATACAGCGGGAGCAACCTCGCCTCTTCCCAACATGGACAATCTGATGGCCGGCAGAATTCCTGCCCTCCCACGTCATCTGCACCAGCAGCCTTTTAAAAACAGGACAACTTTATCTGAACGAGATTAACTGTAGAAGTGTGGCAGATAAATGCTTTCAACAGCAGGATCAGTTCCTCACAAGAGAGAGATCTCTCAGCTTATTGTTGTCCACTGGGTAGTGGGGATGGGAATCTGTCCCGTGTCATGCAGCAGCGCCTTGCATGAGTAGCCCCACCACTCTGCAGGGACCTTTCCCAGGAGAGCTGAGACCACTGGGCTTTACGTCAGCCAGTGATAAGGCTTAGAGAGTCAAATACTACTGAAAAAACACCAAGGTGGTAGAGAGATAATGCTCACAGCTTTTTCTACCAGTTCCTCTCAAGGGACATTTAAATACCCCCTGAATGCAAATCCCACAGTTCGACTGTTACAGAGACCAGTGTTTCTCATTTTTCTGTCAGATAATAAGGGTTAACAGACATATTTGGCATCTGCGCTCACCCTAGAAGAGTCACGCTCTGAATTTGGACAGGACAAGAATCACAAGGTAAAAGGACTTGCCAAAAATTGTTCATCTAACAGTACTGGTGGAGGAGGATTTGGTTATTAATATATTATTAATATACGCTACTATAATTAGCAGCTGGATCCTTAGAATGAAGGAACAAAGAATGAAAAATAAATTCCTCTTGGGAACGAAGCAGAAAAGAGAAATGTTTGCTAGACACGTTTACCTTGCACGTCAGTGACCTTTCTTCATCTGAAAAAAAAATTCTAGGGAAAACTTTCAAGGGCAAGAAGCCAGGAGGAGCACAGACATCAGCCCCAAAGCTGCTAAGAAAACAAGCCCACCTCACTTCTGTTCTTGATTTGTCCGAGAAACCGGTCAGAATACATTCAAAAATAAGGGAGAGAGAGATGTGTTTCCTGTCTCTACCAGCTTGCCTGATGGCAAGTGCTACCACCTTGCTGGAACCTTCCTGAGGAACAGGAAGACCAAATACAATTGCACAATGTGATTGTATTAATAAAGTGGCTGGGGGAAAAAAAAAAAAAAAAAAAAAAGAGGAAGGACAAATTAAAATCCTAATTCTTACAAAAACAGGCCAGATTTCAAATTCAGGAGTATCCTTTTAAACGGGTCACTCAACTGAGATCACAGACTTGTCTTTCGGAAGTTCTTGGGCAAAGCTTGCCCTACCCCACGTGACAGCTACCCGCGGGCTGCACACAGCCTTTCAGTCTGTTCTGGGGACCAAAGCTTTCAGAGAACATGAAAGGCTTCAGAAAGACCCAGAACCCCCCCAGACCTTCCTTTCAGCACCAGATGTCTCATGGCACAAGTCACGGTCCAGCTTGGCAAGATCTCCTGCAGCTCTCCAAGCACAGCTCCAAGCAGCCTCCAGCGCGCAGGGAGCCTGCAGGAACCCTCCTGAGGGGCTGCAGCGCAGGGCTCCCAGGAGAGGACGTGACCACAGAGCCCTGCGCTGAAACTACACGGACAAAGTCACAAACAAACTTTGCAAAGGAGCTTTCGGTGGCACTAGAGGCCGCTGTCACCCTGGATGAAGGTGGATAATCCAGCAGTGGGCTGCAAGCAACAGGACCCCCCCGACTCCCCACCACCTGCTTGCACCAAGCAGAAACCAAGAGGATGTCAGTTTTGCACCGGGAAGAGCAGGGTCCACCACGTGAGATACTGTAGGCACAGCATCACCACACTTGTAATTCACCCTTAGCAGAGCCAGTGCTGGTTTGAGTTCAGCTGGACAAAGGCACTGGCAACGTGACACAATTTGATGCTGGCGGGAGAGCATCAAAATGGCCAAACAGCAAATGTTCTTCAGCGGCTCCAAAATTCCCATGAAAAAGAAAAGGAAATTGCCTGGCAAAAATATTGACTCTAGAAGATGGCTTGTTTCCAGCCTGCCAGCATCAGCACACTGCAGCGCTGCAGCGGCATGACAGGAGGTGACTGTGCAGCTGGGTACATGTAAATATGCACGGCAACAGCTTGGCTCAACATCCCAGACATATGGCTCTAACACCAGGCAGCAATTTGCTACCGTCCATCCAGGTAGACAGACTGCATTGCATTCCTCCAAGCTGATTTCTCCTGTGCTGCTGCCTTTTCGGGGGAATTTGGTTTTTGGTTTTTTTTTTTTTTTAAAAAAAATATTTTTTTATTTCTTTTCTCCCCTTTGTAACAACGTGAGGCACGATTCACACTATTTTCCAGCTACCGCAGCGTTTGCTGACCAATGTAGCTAGCAAACAAGCAGCAGGTAAAACACCCGGATGAAACACTATGGTGGGCCAGGGTAAGGCCACCAAAGGATGCAAACCAGAGCGCTCTGCCAGTCGCTCCTCCCCAGCCTGGGCAGTCTCTTCTGCTTTAACCTTCTGGCTTCATGCCGATAATTTAAGGCCACAAGTTAGGAGATGTCCCTGTGATCTAATATTAGATGATAAGCTTGTTTATGTTTTTGTTGCTAAGAGAAAGCTGGAGCTTTGGAAATACTGAAGCAGACCAAATGCTACTGCAACAGCTGCCGGTGGGAACTGAATCCATACAGTGCTTCCCTGACAACTGTTTGCCACTTTCCTTTTTATTTTATTTTACTGGAATTGGTCTCCTTCCAAAACAAGCTTTTGCAATTTAGGTGACCTCTCCTGTTTCTCTAGGTCCACGTTTCCTAGTTCAAAACGTGCAGGCAGTTCCCCAGTCCGTATATCCTGCTGTTAGAACATATATTCACAAATAAGGTTTCCTCCACCCACAAGCACAATGCATCATTGCTGTGCTTTTTTTCCTCTCAGTAGTTTCAAAGCATCAATTAAAGGTGGGAGGAATTTTTTGGTGTTTCTCCTTACATTACCATAATTCACAGGAGATGGTTCTCTAATAAAAATGCAGGAGACTTAAACAGATCTTCTATATTATTTATAGAAACTGATTCCGCAATAAACGCCAATGCAGGAATATTAATAGATGCTCTTCTGGGCATCTACAAGTACTGTCACAGTCAAGCTCCCTGTCCCCCGGCAGTGCCAAAAGTCTGGTGGGTTTTCTGGAGCCCACTTCTCCAGGGAAAAATCTAAAGCTGCTGCAACTCTATTCTGGGCTTGCCAAAATGGAGATACTGTTGTGAAACGGTCTGAAGTGTGAACTGAAAGCGCAATACTCCCTCTGTCCTCCTTTGCACAATCTCACTGTGCACCGGGAGTATCTTTTGGCAGCTCATCTCGATTCAATTGCAAATTGAAGCCAACCGACCCCTAGCAAAATGACAAGGAGCACACAGAGGCACTCCTAACATTAAACGTAAGTGTTCTTACAGCCAAAGATACTCTGCAGTAGCTATTTCGAATGATGTCCCCGCATACAGAGTTATGAATGCGGCTCATCCAGAATGCTTGCAATACCTTCAAAGCTCTCCCTGTGCCAGCCCTGGGGGGAAAAAAAAAAAAGCCCAAACAGCATTCAAAGTTTGAGTATTTTCCAAAGAAGATCACCTTCTTTCTGGGATCTGCTGGAGCTGAAGCAAGGAGAAGCCCGCAGCAAGCATGGCTCCCTCCATGGGGAGGCCACGCAGCTGACGGCAGAGCTCCACCATCTTTCCCTTTGCAAGCCGCTAATTTCCATTACTGCTTTTCACATCCTTTGGCTTCAGGCCATTTAAAATATGTCAGAGCACTATCTCCACTCAGGAAGGTCTGTATTTAAGGAGTTATTATTTTAGTTTGGAAGAATCTAATTACTGGTTGCTAGTTAGAAACAGACAGTTCATCGCTGCATTTTACTTATTACCATTTACTTTTGTCGATGCCATCAGAAGAGACAGATTTTGCAAAAGTTAACCTGTTTGCAGGAATACGTACAGATCATTTGATATGCTGTACTTAAATGCACACGGTAAACTTCCTTTTAAAAGAGCACCAGCTACCCTAGGTTTGTATTTCCCCAGTCTAAAAATAACACTGTATGATAAGAAAGAGATACCACCAGCTAGATTCAGAGTAGTTCAAAATGCTGCTACTGCTGGAACAGCCTCAGTCGCATGTGGCAGACTTCTACCTCTGTGCTAAGTCTTCCTTAATAGTCAATCGAAAGAAATGCCTGGTGCTAGAGGGCAGTCCATCTCCTCCTGTACCGCACATCTACACGCTCCAGGAATGTTTGTTTTCCCCCACTAACTGCAGAGGGAAGCTAGGGGACCTGTGTGGCAAAGATGACTCCGTTGGGGCCTATGTAAACTTTGCTGAGCAGAATCAGAGGGATGGATTTTATCCGAATGTGTCTCAGTCCAATGCTCTTTTTAGGATAGGATTCACGTTACAGAACCTACTGCCAGCGGCTACTGGGCTGTCTGTCCCTCTACAGAGGCCTTGGGGACTGAGATCAGTAGCCGAGCTGACTACTCAAAAAAAGGCTGTGATGCTGAAAAGACAAGTAGGAAATTATGAAACTAAATTTAGCCTACACGCCAGTGATGACTCAGTTCAAAACCTTAAGATGGAGCAGGGGCAGCAGCCTGTAACGCCACGTAGCACCTAAGATACAGTTCTTACACCCCCACCATCACCACCACGTGAGACCTGATCCCAGAAGAGGACCGACACACACCGGCACTCTGCTCACTAACCTTCTGCGCTCCCTGGCTTCCTCAGCTGAGAAGTCCTTTCCTGTAGTTGCGGCAGCACCGGCATTCGCAATACCATTAGCAGAGCCGAGTATAGCACGATTTGTGATTACACCTAGGGGGGTGCTAGCAGAGATGCCCTCTGTATTTTTCTCTACAGCAGAATCAGTTTGTTGCCTGAAAGGGGCTCTGAAATAGAGAAGACATAATGGAAAGCAAAGCAAGTGAACTCAACTGCTGACCAAGACCAGTCACGTCAAGGGAGCATTGACAGTTCATTCTCCTCATTCTAGACTCGTGGTTTTGTAAAGGACAGCACACATTAAAATGGGTTTTTAAAAACTTGGAAGAATAAGCAGGAGGAATCCACAGTCTTCACATCCCTGTTTGTAGCAAAAATGATTAGAAAATGTACCCGGTGAGTAAGCAGAAGGAATGAACTCCAAGAGCTTGTACACGAGCGCCCAAGAGCAGCCTGAGCAACACATTGTGACTCTAACAGGGTAGCAAGAGGGCACAATCGACCACTCCAGCGAGTGAAGAAGCTAGGGTCACACAAGGGCTGTTAACTGCCTGCTGCTGCACACACGCTACCGAAACTGTCCAACATAACCATTCTGGGATTTCTTATCAGCGCTTCCCACGTGGAAGCACGCTTCCAATCCATAATCCACTCCAGAATCCAGAACTTCCAACCCAAATGCTGATTTTTCCGCAGCGTTACCTCAGCTGTGAGCCGTTACCTGGTATACTGGCGGGCTGATGCAGTAGTGTTCGCACCGAGAGATGTGGGGCAGGAAGAGACAGGTTGCCACGGGGTGCCCAATGAGGTAGCTGAACCAATGGTAGTGGGTGAGGTAGCTAGAGATGTATTGCGACTGGCTGAAATGTAGGGACTGCTGAGGTCACTACTTCTACCAAATGAAGCACTGTAAAACATCACAAAATCACGTCCTTCAGAGAACAGTAAATATTCAACAGAACATCACGGCAGCTGGGCTCTCCGCTGGAAAGGGAGCAAGTATTACATCTTAGCAAAACGTAGGCAAGGAGATTAGAGTACCCCAGAGCTGCTGCTGGTCGCTCACGCAAGCTAGCGCTAGCAGGACCCCTCTTGGCTAAGCCCAGCTGAGTTTTACAGTGAGAGAATAACGGCGTGGAGGTGAATTGGTGAAGATCAGAGAAGGGAAAAACCCTACCGCAGTGAAAGCGGCGCGCACAGAGCACCCCTGTGCACCGGGGAAAGGTAGAAACAATGAGCAAGGACGAGGTTGCTTAAAGCAGGGAAGGCACGAGTGACACAAGCAGGTCTGGCTGCATCACCTCGTAAGGATGCCCAGGACTTCCAGTTTTAAGAACTTGTTTTCAGTGGCTTAAAACTTTGGCAAAGATGATCAGTTCAGGCTTTAATTTTCTTTAAGGCATGTTTGGCACAAACTCTGTATTTCTGGAAAATAGCTAGCAAAACCGTCCAGAAAATACTCAAGAATGAGCAAGGGAAATACATATTTTGCCAGTTTAAAACAAAACCCTTAAAACAATTATTACTGAAAAACTGTACGTGTTTAAATACTCATACTTTGGAGAAGAGACAGGCGAAAAGGAGAAGGGCTCTCACATCAGGATGTACCCTTTTGCTTTTTCAGAGAAAATCCACCCTAACTGGGAGAAGCTGCACACCTCTAAAAACAGACTGGATGAAATCTGGCAAAATCTCCTTATTGCATGCGCCAGAGCCCCATGCACAGGCTGCTCATTGTCTGCACAGAGCAAACGAGCACGCATGCATGTTCTAGGGCCCTGCCACACCTTTCCCAGCAACTGGTATTCCTGGTTGCTACTGGTCAGGCTGGGCTATCTGCAGGATCAAAGCCTAGGAAGGCTGCCTCTCACCTCCTGCATCCTAATGACTCCCATGCTAGTGCACACGGAGGATAGTGGTTGCACGAGGAATTAAAACTGACCTAGAGGAAAAGCAGACCGGCACAAAGCTGCAGGTTTATGGGAAAGCCAGTGACAACGGACTGGAATTGGAAGTCAAGACTAGAGCGAGAGTCAGAGAGAGCAGCCTGAGGCTGAAATCAAACCTGAAAGGGGCAGGACAACAGCCAAGGACAGGAGGTCGGAGGAAGGGCCCAGTCCAATTCACCCAGGCACCCAATTTCCAAATCAGTTTTACACGCCAAGGCCCCCAGCCAGCCCAGGACAAGCAGCTGGTCCCCAGACAGCCAAAGGAGAGAACGGGGTATCCTGGATGGCCTCAACAGGGAGGAACCTTACATCTGGGCTCTTCAGTTGGTGGCTGCTTGCCACATCCAGGTCACAAAGGAACAAGCAAGTTATTGTCACCAGGTAGCAACCTCCACCGGACCCTAAACAAAGCTTCCTCTGGAAAGCCAGCCCCTGCCCGGAGCAGAGGGAGCAGGAAGTCCTGTTGGAAGCAAGTGCCTCCCTTCTTGGCTCTCTGCACCAGAGGAAAGGCCAATCCCTGGAGATGGGCTGGGAGGAGGGTGAGAGCAAGGAGCTAAGCCTGGCTGGTGCGAGCGTGCAGAGCAAGCAGCCATGAAGTTGCAGAAAGGAGTGTACCAGGGAGATGACGGTAGTGGTGCATGTGCCAGGGGAAGGAACAAGGGGAGCGGCAGGGGAAAAAGTGGTTGCAGCCCTGGGGGGAGCAGGGTTGGTGTGGCACTGTCCTAGGAGAGCCCAAGGCAGAGCAGTTGTGGCACGAGGGGCGGCTGCAAAAGAGAAGGAACTCGGTCAGGAAGGGAGGACACTGGGGCGTTATTAAGTAAGACCTGACAAGGACTGTCCCTCAGAAGGGGAAGGTAACGGGTGAAAAGGGGAGACAAGAGGATGGAAGCAGCACCAGGTGCCTGGGAAAGCAGAGCCTGGGGGCGGCTGAGAGGGGCAGGAGGAGGAATGGAGGAAGAGGATGGTGATGGCATTGTGCCAACTCCTACACACTCACGCCCCGGGCTGGAGAAATGCGGCGCGGGTGCATCACGCACACACTGCTGCTCACAAGAGGGGAGCCAAGGCATTGCCAGCTCTACAGGAATTCACCTCCCCACCCTGTCACCGTGCATGGGTGGCGTTGCACAGTCTGAGGAGACGCTAAGGCACTCAATTGTTCACACACAGACAATAGACAATTGCAAGACAAAGGTTAGCCGGGGAATCCTGTTAATTAACAGCTGTGTTCATATGAATCTGTAAAAGGAAGGATTATGAATTGATGCTAAAGAATTCAACATTGGAAATAAAAAAAAGGAACTGACACAGTGCTACTCGTTCTCTTAACATAATCACTATAACAGAACCGTCAGGGAACGAGCAACGAAATGGGAAGCAACGTTTCAAATCAATAAAAAGAAATACTTCTGAAAGCAGCTAAGGCCAGTAGAACTAAAAATCTTAAAAACCTTCGAAACCTTAAAAGCTTCCACATATGCTAATAAAAAAGGTTTGCACAAAACATGCCACTATTTATTTTTTTAACATGCTGCCAAGGGGTATTGCATAGGATTTTCTGTATGGAAGTTGGCCACAGTGGTGGCTGTTAAGAACAACGGTGAAGCACAACCCCTGGCTCCTAAATGCATCATTGCTGGAAGCAAGGAGAGTGTGGGAGGTGGAAAACTGCTCTTAAGTTATCCTAGCTTTTGTAACCTGTCCTTCAAAACCAGTTGCTGTCAGAAACAGTCTGGACTGCATGGACTGTTGGCCTGACTCACTGTGATAGTTCTAATGTGAACAAAACCAGTAAGAAGGCATATATTCAAATATGTAAAATGAAGGAGAAACTAACTGTGTGAAAAATGTGGTTTTATTCTGGTGTGTGCAATCCCGTCCTGTGAGACATCACAGCTGATTTCAAAGGAAGGATGCTGAATTAATTCAATCTGCTATGCCAGTTTTCCTCCAAATCCTTTAATATACAGGCGAACTGGCTGTTTGAAGGCCAATATGCACTAAAATGGAGAACAGGCTGTCAGAAAGGGATTCTGTGAATTTTTGGGCTAGTGGTACACTCACAGAGAAAGCAGAATGACAGCCACTACCACTACACAGAGAACTTTAACAGTTGCTTTAACTACAGCTGAAGAACACTCGCAACATTGCTGCAAGTTATTTTGTACCCTTCTGGAAGAAAAGCCATTTTCAACACAAGATGATCTGTTGCTGTTGTTTACTCATTGCTTGGGGGGTCACATAAGGCACTTACAGAACATAACCAGGTACCCTTATAGAGATTAGCTAAACACTAAGGTAAAGGGGAAATGCAGATGTACAGAAGTCGTCCTCTCAGTAACATCCAAGTACATCATGTTTCCTTTAATTCTTCCTCTCTCAGAACAAGCTTTTACCTTTCAGAGTTGTGTTCAGAGTTTTGTTAATACTTGGAAATGACAAAGAGTTTATCCTTAACAGGCAACCAGGTTCCCTTCCTCATCTTACAGGCTGGTGCACAAGGCTGGAGAAATCAAAGGTTCAACACGATTGTATTTAATTTCTCTGTGCTCTCCTATAGAAAACCATATGGGATAGAGGTCAAATCGATCATGATTCTACTGTTTGTACATAAAATGCAAAATCATTGATCTCTTTAAAAAAGTACACTTTATTCCTACCTGGCAAAGCTACGTTCTCCTATGAAAGGCCAGAATTCAGCCTTTGTGACAAGAAATCGGTATTAGCGCAATGCCACTGCCAGCCAAAACTGTCTCTGTACAGTTTAACCACGGAAATACAGTACAACTGTGTAAATGCAATACTAAATCTGGTCCTGGATTAGCAGAGATAAACAGGCAATGTTTGTAAAATCTGAACGGGCAGCCATGTGAGTGATGGGACTGCCTCTCAGGCTAGGGAACAGTCAGGCATGCCAGCTGCAAGAGGCACAATTTTTCCAATGTAATCAGCTGCGGCTTGTTGGACTGCCTTTAGAGAGACAAGCTATGGAGGTTGGCCTGTCATCATGTCCCAGGATAGATGTGAAGTCACTGGAATGGATCAGCAGATGAGGAGAAGTCTCCTGCTTGAAGTGGCTGTTTCACCTTTTGTGGAAATGGGTCTGTATGTGCTCAGCAATTGGGCAGACACATCCTCGAGCACAGCTTACCTCTACCAGCATAAGTACTAGAACACAAAAAGTCCACCTCTGCCCAAATATCTCAAGCAATAGTTCCATCTTCAGG